ATTGTATTCCATGTCACCCATACCACGTTGGATCCACATCATCGCATCTCCAATCAACGACTATGATCAAATCGCTCCAGATCAAACACGCAACCGTTTCTCCAAATAGAAAAGCGCTCTCATGATGCCTTGCGCCGATGCGTCCGTGCTAAGTGCAAAGTACGCCATCAAAAGCCACACAGCCCACGCAACGCGCGCTCATGTGCGTGTACATGTTCTTTGCGGTGTGAGTGCATGCACACTAGTATCTATCCCACAATTTCATCTTCAAAGGAATATTCCATGTACCACTTTATTAAGTGCTCCATGTTTTGCTCTCTTTTCAATGTGGGACAAAGTCCCGAAGCTTATTTCAAGCTTTCCAAAGAAAAATAAGAAAGGTTTTGAAAACACCCAAAAACTAAACTATAAATTTTGAAAATTCCCCAACAGGTGGATTAGTGAAAATATATAGATTATGCTCTTTCTTTCACTCAGTAAGAATAAAATTTTATTCAATCATGAAGGATTTAGATAGGTCTGCCGTCCTCCACAAGTGGATCATGAAGCCAAGCAGGTGGATTATCCTCCACATGAAAATATCTTCCTCAAGAACACCATACTTAACAGTCAAATGTGCTGCTTTGTTACACCCATGCCTATAATAAATTCAAAACTACAAGAATGAAACCTATCACCAAGTTGCTTAATATCATGAATAACCACAGCAACATCTTCACTCACCATTAGAATTCCATTTATCATATTTATCGCAGTTTGAGAGTCAATTTTTATGACAACCTGCGAAACACCCAACTGGAGGCCCAGCTGCAGCCCTTCCTTTATAGCCACAACTTCTGCGAACAATGGGCTAACATAATAGTTCAATGATCGAGTGATAGCTACCATAAAACTACCTATACAATCCCTCATAACAACTCCAACACCACCCTGATGTGGCTCTTTTTTCCATGCCCCATCAACATTTATTTTCAACACTTATGTACCAGGTCAACGACAACCATCCCACTTAACTTGCACAATTTGGCCTGCAATATGAATTCTCTATTCCGTATTCTCACTGACGATCCAGAACACATGGACATTGTTTGCCACAATTCTCCACACCTTATTCGGACTAACCATACACCCATTAAAGTGAGCTGAATTCCTCCTACATTTACAAATACGCCAAAGAATAGTAGTAGCCAAAGCCACACTCTACTGAGAATCTGGAGAGCCTTTCCATTTATCACATAAGTTCATCCACCACACACCAATTAACAGTCCAGAAAGTAATCTAGACTAAACTCTAAGTTGTGATACATACCAAACCATCTGTGAAAAAAGACATTCAACAACCAAGTGCATACCCAACCTTTTCTTCTGCAACAAAACTTTTACCGAAAGAATCTCAATACTCAAAGAAAGCTATTTTTCGAATCTAGGTTTGAAGTTTTTGGATCCTGAACACTTCATGTTGTTGGTGATGAAATTTGATGATGGTTTGTGGGTGACAGGATGATGAATCTAGAGTGTGCGGGGTGGCAGTGGTGGTAATGGCGGTGGCGATTGATGGTGGTGATGGTGAGGTGGTGATGGTTGTTTGGTTGAGAAAGGAGACAGGGTAGTTTGGGTAAGAGGGGAGAATAAAATGGATGAGTTTGGATCTATAATTTGAAATTAGGGGCCAAATTGTGATTTTTAAAAAAAATTCCATTTAAATGTGACGGCATTTGATAAATCGATCACGATTTATATATATGAAAGGGTAATTTGATAATATAAAAAAATCCAAGTGTGAGATTGATTAGAGGGGTATAGTTTCGGGGGGAATGAAATTTCCTCAATTTTAAATTCTCATAATTATATGTCATCTCAACAAGTAAACAAATTTTATAAGTGTATAACATTTTTTATTTATGATCCTTTTGATTGGACGAAAAATAATTTCTAGTGAAAAATATTTGTTAAAGAAATTTTTTTTCCATAAAATATTTTTCAAAGAATAAAAATCTTTTATGTTTGGTGGTAGTAGTGGTGGAGGTGGTAGGGCAACGGCATAAGCTATAACAATGGTGATGATGGCAGTGGTTGTGGTTGTGGTTGTGGTGATAGTGTTGTGGTGGTGAAAGCGAGAGTGGTGGTAGTATTATGGTGACACTGGTAAGACTTTAGAACTTTCTTAAATATTGTACCAAAATTAAATCAAGATTAATTAAGTTAAAAATAGTTAGAAACAAAGCTTGATTAACTAACCAAATGAGTGAGATTAATAAATGGTGAAGCAAGCAAATAGGTGAAGCACACAAAGAGGTGAAACACCTCTCCAAAAAGATGATCATCAACCTTTGAGAGGCAAGTGTCTCTTCCAAATAAAATAATAATAAATGAGAGATAGAATAGAAGAAAATCTGCTAGAAATTCTTGATAGAAGAGAGATGAGATAGAAGATAAGAAGATGGAGAAGAGGAGAGAGAAGAGCAACAAAAGGGAAGCTTCAATCTTAGGCAAAAGATGAAGCAAAAATCACCACAAAGTAAGGTTTTAAACCCTCTTTCACGTGATATAAATATTAACCAACTACAAAATGATTAGGGATAGGTTCTTCATAGAATAAAAGAAAACAAATGGATAAGAGATCAAAAAGAAATTAGGTAAGAGATTAATTTGTGGGAATTCAATCATTTGCTTGAATAAATCAAAAGATTTTGTATTGAATCTTGAAACTAAGTATCCTATATCAATTTCATGTGTTTTTTTTTTTTTTTAATTTTAATAGAAAAGCATCTTGTTTATATGCTTTGATTTGAAGGAAATATGAAGAAATAGAAGGAAATTAAGTTAAGAAAGAAATTAGTTTGAAATGATTAAGAGAAAAATGAGTTCCTGCCACTAATTAGACCGTAACTCCTTGTATATTTGGAATTTTAATGTGAGACTAAACCCATTAGAAACTAGACTTCAGATGCTTGAATTTAGACTCAAGAATTGCACAAATCAAGTTTGGATGAAGGAAATATATCCATGTGAAATTAGATTGAAAAACCAATCGCAGACCTCTGCACATGCGACCAGCCCTCTTTTGGTATTGCAGGAATCTACACGTGCAGCCAACAAGGCTTTTGGTCCGTTTTGCTTCTTTTTCACCTTTTTGACTCACCGAGGCTCGTTTCTTCTAATTGGAACCTGAAATGAACTTGAATAAGACTTGAAATTTAATCTAAAAGTGTATGATCAAAGGGAAACTATTGAACCTAAGTTAGCACATACTCGAATTAGAACTGAAAAGGTAGTATTACATCACTTTGGACCGTATTTCATTGAATGCTTGTATATTTTTTACTTGGGTATGTTGCATCTTTGGAAGTTACCTCATTTCTTAAAAGTAATTGGTGAGTAATATTGTTTTAAAGTTATGTTTAAAAGCATGTTTTGAAACTCAATAATATATGGAAAATGTTTGAGGGCTATAAAATCAATGGCTCAAAATTGTCAAAACGACGTCGTTTTGCGTTACTTTGCACCCAAAACGACGTTGTTTTGACAGTTTTGAGTCATTTGAGCTACTGTTTTTGTGGCCCTTTAGCATTGCCGATAATATATCATGCTTTGTGAAAATTCTATTTTGTTTCAGAATGAATGAATATCTTATATTCTTGTATCAATGTATTAGATAACATCCTTAGATCAATCCTAGCCATCGGAAAGTAAGCATACCAATGGCAGATGTTTGAGATTTCTCTCGCCACCTAAAGGTGGGTTTGTCTAATTGATGTACGGACCAGTTAGTAGGGGAAGAGGGATGTGGGGGCCGGGGGATCACGTGCCCCCTGATTTTTGTTTTTTTTTTTTTTTCGCGCCTATATACGCGAGTCCAGATCCCCTCCTTGAGCCCCCTCCTTCATTCCCTCCTTGCAGGGGCCTTCGGGTCCACTTTGAGGTCCAGTTTTGATAATTCGAACCGTTCATATTTTTAGATTTATTCAGTGTATTATACCTGTAAAAAATCAAGTTGATCGGATATCAAAAAGTATGCGTTCAGAAAATTAGGACTACAAACTATTTTTTAATAAACAGTTTTCCGAACACATACTTTATGATATTTGATCAACTTGATTTTTTACAAGTATAATATACTGAATAAATCTAAAAATATGAACGGTTCAGATTATCAAAATTTGGCCTCAAAGTGGGTCCGAAAACCCTACAAGAAGGAAATGAAGGACCAAAATGAAGGGGAGGATCCCAATTCTATATACGCAGCCCACTTTGACCCAAAACAGCTCACTTTGATCGAAACACTTTTCACTACAAGAAAATGCATTTTTGGCGACTAAAGTTTTAGTCGCCAAAAGTAAGGATTTTAGTCGCCGAAGCCTTTTCCCGACTAAATATTTTGGTCGCTAGATTTGTCACGGGAACACGGTCGGGGAATGTTTTGGCGACTAAAAAAAATTTAGTCGCCAAAAGTCCTATAAATGGCTACTAATGTTTTAGTAGGGAAAAGTACGAGGTATTAGCGACTAAATATTTTTTAGTAGCCAAAAATCATAAATTGGCGACTAAATATTTAGTCGCCAAAAGTTCCCAAATAAAATTAATTTTATTTTTAGCGACTAAAATTTTTAGTCGCCCAAAGTATCATTTATTATTAGCTACTAAATATTTAGTAGCCAAAAAAAATTAATTTTCATTTTTTTTTTAGCTACTAAACTATTTAGTCGCTTAAAGTCTCATATATTTTTTACTACTAAATTTTTAGTCGCCAAAAAATCTTTAGTTTGTTTTTGGCTACTAAATTTTTAGTAGCCAACAAGTTTTATTTAGTTTTTTTGGCTACTAAACATTTAGTCACCAAAAACTTTATTTAGTGTTATTTTTTATTATTATTATTATTAATTTCTGCACAATCTGTATTTATTTCGTGCAACCTGCACCCTGTATATAAACAAAACAATACATATGTCTATTTCTATTTCACTTTCAACCATCCAAAAATTTGGTCTTGTAACATCAAATTCTATACAAACCAAATATAATCCAACCCAAAATAATAATTCCATACAAATAGATAATCATACAAAAATGATGTCCTCCGTATACAAAAAAGAAATATCCACTTTGTGAACTATAGAAGTGAAACATAATCCACATCTGATTCACAAATCATTTTACTGTAGACAACAAATACCATAGGCCTGCTAATTTTCATATCACAACTACCAATCTATCATCCCAATGAGTAAATCAACTGAGAAAAAACACTAATAAAAAGCACAAAAGACTTAAAGGCAGAAACCATGTGGAATCTTTAATCAATCTTTTAATAAAGCCGAAGGATGGAGGAAACAGATAAAAGCACATAATAATCTCTTCCCGCTGCAACAACACCAACCCATTTTGGTTTCTGTCAATAGGTCCTCAAAACACAGCAGAGCACACCCTGCAAAGAATTAAATGACAAGTCAAAAAACAAATTATATCACTACTACCAAAGTAGCAAATTTTAATTCATTTGATGTAATATTATATATATATATATATATATATGTTTATGCTAATAGCATAGACACAATGAATAGAGAAGTCTACTTGCAATTAGTGCCATCAGCATTTTCAAACTTTCAAGGCAGCTTTGTGAACCATAGTTTCCTTGTGGATTTGGTGGCAACTCTTCTCCATGAGGTCAAGCAACTTCTCCAAGTTCATAGCCCATGAATTCAAAATGTCATTGCTGTCCTTTGCTGCCTGGAAACAGACTATACCCATTGGCCGATCAATCTTTGCTACCAGCGCTTTAGAGACAACCATCTCTGAAAGATGCTTCTCAACTTCCTGAGAAAGAGAGACAAATATGTAACTCTTCATAAAACACATGGATTCAGATACATGCAACATCACAACAATCAGCAACAAGATATGAAGAATATTGTCATACACAGGTGTGTCAACCCAAAAAAAAACTATTGCAGCAAACAAACTTGAAGTGCAGTATGCAGTAATCCAATACAGAGGTAAAGGAATTAAAACAAGCACCCTCCAGATAAGATTAATAATAGCTCCCATTTTAAAGGGTTCTGCTTTTCTTTTTCTTTTTTTTGTTCCTCTGTTTTGTATTTTTTATTATTATTTCCCTTCGCATTGTGGGGGGGGGGTGTTGTTGCAAAACTGGCAGCCTGCCCTTAAGGAACAGTATGGAAAAGCTTAATAGTAAGTAGTGAGTAATAGTACTATCGATGTACCTTAACTACGTTAATAATTATTGTTATTGACGTTAAGTTTAACATGTATGCTACTTGGGAAACGGTGTGAAATTATGAAATTGAGAAACAGTGTGAACTTATGGAACATCGAAAGAACTTGTGAAATATGAATCTATGAGGCCAAGGGCCAACTTGTGAAATTATGAATCCAAAAGGCCAAGGGCCAATTTGTGAAGTTATGAATCTCAGTTGTGAATCTATGAGGCCAAGGGCTAATTTGTGAATGTGTAAACCCATCAGGCCAAGGGCCAATCTGTGAAGTTGTGAACCGACAAGTCGTTCTGCAAATTTGTACAGAATCAGACTAACTACATAATTTCTGCATTACTTACGCTTTTATATGTGTTACGATTTTAATTGATTATTGAAGCATTCAAGTACTATTGTTCACTGAGCCTGGCTCACTCCATGTTATGTCTGTTTCTGTTTCTGTAGGTAACCAACCTAGAGGTCAGTCCTAGTCCTAACACCGTCACACTTTTGTCAGCCTAAGCATAGCCAGGCACGTGGTCGAAGCCGTATATTTTTGTGGTGTTTTGCTAGACTATGGCTTGTACTCTAGTTATTGGCTTAGGATAAAATGTACTTAATATTTTTGTTATACGCCCACTCTTGGGGCTGAATCTGTATATGCATATGTATATAACTAGCTCTAATGTGTATCTCCTTAGCTCTATTCGTCTTATGCAGTGACAAGAATATGATCCTGGCATGGTAATAGGAGCTCAATGGATGTCATACTTTCTTATATATTATCATATGATGTTAATGCTTCCATCCAGGCCCCTATGTTATATATCAGGTTACGTGTCCATTTCTGCAGAGGTCATGCCCAAACTTCTAGGGGCGGGTTAGGGGTGTGACATTTAGATTGTTGGAACAATTCATCTTGAATTCTTCAGTTGGTGGTCTTCGGATCTTCAAAACTTGGTGATGATCTTCTCTATATAGAAAAGAAATTTGGTGCTTCAAGTCGCGTTACTTAGTCGCTTTCCTAAAGACAATATTTGCACCCACTAAAAGGTGTGCAGGGGGTTACAGCAAATTCACCTCCAAGATACAATGAAGCATGATCTAAAGATCAAGTCTACCTGTGTCTGCACTGATGACTGTAGATCAGAATACTCTTGATATAATTAAGAAAACCAAGGCACTGATAATCAAGTCTCAGAATTTGATTACTAGAAAGAAAAGCAGAAACTTACTTAAGAAACTTTTGATCAAAAACTCTAAATCAAGAGGGAGAAGAAGATTTGTAGGAATGCTCTGAATTTTTTAGATGGATTGAAATGACTGATTTCGTAGCCTATTTATAGGCCTTCATGCATTTGATCAAATGGACATGTCCCTAGATCACATCCGATCAGATTTGACCGTTGGATAGACGATCTATGGTGCAGATCATTCTCACACCGAATATGTCACGACCCAAACCCGCCCCTAAAAGTTTGGTTCATGACCGGCCTATACATAGGCCTTAAACAGAATTTTAAAATAATATTTAAACACATACGGGGCCTTAAGCGGAAGCAATATCAATAAAAGACAACATCCATTGAATTTATGCATACATGATGGTTAAATTAGATTCAAGCATTTAAATACATTCCTAGAGTTATATATATAATCACAGAATTCATATAGATCTCACACACACTTACATAAGACTTAATAATTTATATGACTCCCATCACAAATTAAGGCCTCCAGATGGAGACATACCCTGGTGACTTGGCAGACAGGCGAACCTTAGTGCAACTCTAGTGTCAATCTCCGACGGCTCACCTATAGAAATATCCATAAAAACGGAGTGAGCAAGGCTCAATGAATAATAGCAATGTAAGGAGGTTAATTAATTGAGCATAGACTTAGAGAATGTAATATCAAACTGTACATAGATCTTATACATAATCATATTTTAAAACGGCCTCGGATCCACATATAACACAGAACGGCCTCAGGCCCATATATAATACAGAGCGGCTATAAGTCCAAATATGATACAGGACGGCTGTAAGCCCAGATATAATACAGATCGGCTGTAAACCCAGATATAATACAAAACGGCTGTAAGCTTAGATATAATACAGATCGGCTTTAAGCCCAGGTATAATACAGATCGGTTTTAAGCCCACAAATTATACAGAACGGCTTTAAGCCCACAGATTATACAAAACGGCTTTAAGCCCACAGATTATATAGAACGGCTTTAAACCCAACATATTATGCAGAGCGGCCTCAGGCCTAACAGATTATACAGAGCGGCGTCAGGCCCAGATATCAACAGATTGGCCTCGGACCCATCATTAGCAAAACAAAATGATTCTAGATACACAAAGATATCATTCTCCCACAATACACATATGTTTCATTTGTTCATCATGAATTCAGATAGTTAACTTGCAGATAAAGAACGTCAGTATTAACTATTAACAGTAAGTAAAACATACTGCTACAGTACTATTACTCAATAGTGCACAAAGATTTTCCCATGGTTTATTACTAGTTGACATAATTGTCTTAGATAACAGAACATTAATAGTAACTATTAACAGTAGGCAAATGTATCACTGCATTAATGGGGACAGAACAATTCATATCATACCGGCCTCAGACCCATGTCTATTACTAGGGACAGAACGACCTTAGGTCCATATCAATGCCATTATTCAAGCATATCCATTAATTGAATCAAAGCACAATATCAATGGAACAGGCCATTCACAAATAACAATACATAGATCATAATTACAGGAAGTAAATGAAACATATCGATACACTACTATTACTCACAGTGATCGGCTCCCGGTAGTAATGGGACGATGTCCTTGTCTCGACCTACAAGTACAGTGCACAACACATAATATGATATTATACTCACTCCTTTACTTATTCTCTTTGATCATTCAATCAATTAGCCATGGTGGTACCAAGCTCATTATTCCTTAATAAGTTATAATCCATGTCTCAGAAAACAGGAGAAATCGATGGGAAATGGTTTAGGTGAAGAAATGGTATAAAATTGGTTGACAAAAAGTGAACAGTCGTCACTAATTTGGGCATAACTATTTCTGTATTTGGAATTTGGGAGTGAGACCACAGCCATTGGAAACTAGACTTCCGGGGCTTGATTTTAGGCTCAAGAATCACTCAAAACAGAGTCCCGAGGCAAAAAAATATGCTTATTCAAAGTTGGCTGAACAGAGCTGTCTCCCGCACGTGCGGGAAATAGAGCCGCACGTGCGGCCCTGGGCAGTTTGCAGTCCGAAAATGGCTAAAAAATTAGGACTTCTGATTTTCAAAATCAAACCTCAATTCCATGTAAATCAAAGCCCAAAACCCTTTAATACATGACCAATTTCACATTATTAATCTCCATCAAACATCATAACTCAAAATATTACTCAATTCCCAAGCACAAGAACACAAGAGCATAATATAGCCATAGTTGGGGTTCAAAGTTCACATCTTCCATATCAATCCTTGATTTCATGTAATTGATGCTTTAAACATAAGGATTCAAGATAGATGGTCATACCTTAGCTCAATCTTTGTCTTTCTTTTTGTTCTCTTCAATTTCCCCAAGCTTCCATGGTTGATCTTCTTTCTTTTTTCTTCAATTTCTTCAAACCCCCATGGATTTGAGAAGCTTGTCTCTCTTTCTCTCTTCTTCTCCTTGAGTTCTCTCTAGAACTCTCTTTCTCACGTGTCTTCCTCTCTTCTTAGATATTTTTGAGCTCCAAAAGATAAGTCCTACTCATATAACTCATACACACCTATATATTTAATTATATAAGCTTTATTACAAATAAGGAGGGCCAAACACGCCCTTACGAATCGCACAAAATTAAATTTCAATTAAACTTTCCAGATGACTCTAAAAATTATGCTGCCCATAAATATAACCCTTGTTCTGGTTTCTGAAGTCTCTAAGGCCCTCAATTTGCAGCACAAAGTTAACCACCCAAACATGCATTAACGAATCAGGCGAATTAAATTTCCAATTAATTTTTCCAAGTAGTTCTAAAAATTCCCATTAACATATGCAAGTACTTAATTTTGATTTCTGAACCCACAAAGGTCGTCAATTCCAGTTTTAAAGCAATAACTCAACAGATAGTTCTTCAATTCCAATAGATATAATTAAATTAAAACACATTATCCCATAGTTAAACAAGGATGACTTCTTATACGTATTTTGGGGTCGTTACGGAATAGATGCCTTGATTGGTCACACCTGATTACGATCGGGTGCCATTTCATCCATACGATCGCGCGCATCTCCAATCAACGACTATGATCAAACCGCTCCAGATCAAACACGCAACCGTTTGATCGGTTGATTGACTCATCGTTAAGAGATGCCACATCACTGCCACGCGGAGTTAACTGTATTCCATGTCACCCATACCACGTTGGATCCACATCATCGCATCTCCAATCAACGACTATGATCAAATCGCTCCAGATCAAACACGCAACCGTTTCTCCAAATAGAAAAGCGCTCTCATGATGCCTTGCGCCGATGCGTCCGTGCTAAGTGCAAAGTACGCCATCAAAAGCCACACAGCCCACGCAACGCGCGCTCATGTGCGTGTACATGTTCTTTGCGGTGTGAGTGCATGCACACTAGTATCTATCCCACAATTTCATCTTCAAAGGAATATTCCATGTACCACTTTATTAAGTGCTCCATGTTTTGCTCTCTTTTCAATGTGGGACAAAGTCCCGAAGCTTATTTCAAGCTTTCCAAAGAAAAATAAGAAAGGTTTTGAAAACACCCAAAAACTAAACTATAAATTTTGAAAATTCCCCAACAGGTGGATTAGTGAAAATATATAGATTATGCTCTTTCTTTCACTCAGTAAGAATAAAATTTTATTCAATCAT